AGGACTGGGTTGGAGTCGCTGGCACCGCCCTAAGTTGGTTTAGGTCTTACCTTGAGGACAGGAAGTACTTTGTGGAGATTGGAAACTGTGTCTCAGATCATATGGCCCTGACCTGTGGAGTACCACAGGGGTCGATCCTGGGACCTCTTCTGTTCAATCTCTACATGCTGCCGTTAGGTCAGTTAATACGCAGAAACGAAGTTTCCTATCATAACTATGCAGACGACACTCAGATCTATGTCTCACTGACTGCAGGAGAACATGGACCAGTGGACTCACTCCTTCACTGTATCCAACAGATCAGTGAGTGGATGCAAAACAACTTCCTTCAGCTAAACACAGACAAAACTGAAATGATTGTCTTTGGTCCCCAGAAACAAAGAGAGAGCGTCATCTGTCACCTACAGTCTCTCTCCCTAAAACCTTCAAACAAGGTCAGAAATCTAGGGGTAATACTGGACTCAGACTTAAATTTTAATAGCCACATCAAATCAGTAACATCAGCAGCTTTTTACCATCTAAAAAACATTGCCAGGATCAAAAACATAGTGTCTAAAGCAGACTTGGAGATTCTTATCCATGCATTTGTCTCCAGTAGGTTAGACTACTGCAATGGCCTGCTCACAGGTCTGTCCAAACAGGCTGTAAAACAGCTGCAGTACATTCAAAATGCAGCAGCTCGAGTCCTGACAAGAACCAGGAAGTACGACCACATTAGTCCAGTCCTCAGGTCTCTGCACTGGCTTCCTGTGGCTCAGAGAATAGACTTTAAAACAGCTCTGCTTGTGTACAAGTCTCTCCATGGCCTCGCACCAAAATATATTAGTGACATGTTAGTCCCATATGAACCAGCCCGGACTCTGAGGAGCACAGGGACTGGACTCCTGTTAGTGCCCAGAGTCAGAACTAAACATGGGGAGGCTGCTTTTCAGATTCATGCTGCTAAAATCTGGAACAGTCTTCCTGGAGATGTGAGACAGGCCTCCTCTCTGACAATGTTTAAAGCCAGGTTAAAGACAGTTCTGTTTAGCTGTGCATACAACTGAGGGATTTTATATTTGTATCTTTCTTTTTAATGTTCTGTGATTATTTATGATTTTAATGCTTTCTTGTTTTGTTCAGCACTTTGAATTGCCTTGTGTATGAATTGTGCTATATAAATAAACTTGCCTTGCCTTGCCTTGCCTTGGCTGGGATGTTCAGGGGCCATTGGACCTTCTCCGCAAACAATGGGAGGGTCCCTCAGCCAAACAAAATGACCGCAGCATCGTGCAGTTCGTCTTAGAGATGCGAGAGAGACTGTCAAAGTATTTGGAGGAAGCGGAGGAAAACCTGCGAGACGCTCAAAAGTCCCAGAAAGCCTGGTATGACCGGCAAGCGCGCCGTCGGGAGTTCCAGCCAGGTCAAAAGGTATTACTCCTTCTACCCTCATCCACCAATAAGCTGCTCACAAAATGGCAGGGGCCGTATGCTGTGCTGCGCAAGATGGGTCCAGTCACATACGAAGTCCTACACCCCGAAAAGAAAAGGCCCAAACAGACCTACCACGTTAACCTCCTAAAGGAGTGGAGGGAACGGCCTGAGAAAGCAACGGCAAAGGTTCTGTTTGTCAGACAGCTGGAGGAAGCGGACGAGGAAGATGATGTTCCGGATGTCGGACTAGAGGGATTAACAAAAGCTGCAACCCCGATCCTGGCTCATCTCTCTCCTGAGCAAGCTGCCCAGCTGTTCCAGACCTTCAAGGAAGTCTCGTCCCTCTTCAGTGCCACTCCCGGCAAGACCACCATTGTGGAGCACCTCGTTCGGCTGAAAGACGGGAGACCCATCCGACAGCGGCCCTACCGTGTGCCTCAGCAGCTCATCGGAAAGCTCCAGGATGAGATCCAGGAGATGCTGAAACTTGGAGTGATCGAACCCTCCAACTCAGAGTGGAGTAGCCCTGTGGTCATTGTTTTTAAAAAGGATGGATCGCTCCGGATATGTATTGATTTTCGGAAACTGAACTCTGTTTCAGAATTTGACGCATATCCAATGCCAAGAATTGATGACTTGCTGGAGAAGATTGGGGCAGCTAAGTACATCACCACTTTGGATCTATGCAAAGGATATTGGCAGGTGCCCCTCGAGAAGTCATCACGGCCCTGCACCGCATTCCAAACCCCTGCTGGACTGTTTCAGTTTACGGTGATGCCGTTTGG